GGCGGCATCAACTTTTCAAATGACGTTTTTCACCGTCATACATGTAAGAATTAAAAACTATTTACTGATATGGATACTACGATAGTTTGTTGTTTGCACATGATTCAAGATGGAACTTTGAAAGCCCTAATTAGTAAGATAGAAGAAGATATCAAAGCGATTCCGCAACTTCGAAGAAAAATAGTGTATTTTTCATATATGAAAAATGATCTGGGTGTGCAAGGCATCTCGGTTGAAAATGGGCCTTTAAATGTTACTAGCTTATTAGCATGAACACTTCATTTTCCTATAGAGCAACAAAAAATGTGTGTGGTTCAGGGGTGACATTGTAAGCAGAAATTAGATGGAAGTCACTCAGAGGTTAAAGGATCAAATATTAAATACTTTAGTACAAGCCTGTGTATAACAGCACTGTATTTTTCCTTGGATATCCTCATGTAAATTATCATGTCAAGTATAGCTTTTATTGGAAATTAAAATTGCCTATTATTAAACCTCAAACTTAATTGAAATTTTTTTTTTCTTTTTCTACTAGTGATCATGAAAGGGAGCTTGGTTTCAGCCTTGTGCTGGACATGCGAGGATGCACATGGCCTTCTGTTAAGCCTATGCTAAAAGCTTTACAGGTTTGTTTTACTTGATATCAAATCATAAAAAAATTCTCCCTACTCACTAAAGCTGGTGACACACTTGGTGATTTTATTCATTGATCCTAGTGAATCTGATTGCCAGTGAAAGTTTTGATATCTGACATGAGAGATATACTGGTGATTTTATACACCGATCGCAGTGATCAGTGAAAATTGCAATCACTGCCCCAGGCACGCCTGGTGATTTTTGCTGATCATGCAATTGGCACATTAAATGCCAAGTGTGTCACTGGCCCAAGGTCACGAGTAAGAAATATGGTGTGGTACATTTACATCTAAGTGTAAATCAGGGTATCTTCAATTTTAAGAATTATAGATGTCAAGCACAGACAAACAGCTCCTTTTAAACGGACTGTTAATAATTGGAGTTCTAATGATTTCTCAAAACTGACTGCCAAAACAATCCAGGTTATGATTGAATAGCACTTTTAAATTGAGCTTTTCAATGTCGTGTGAACAATGGAATTGGAGGTACATTTACCTCATTGAATATACAGCCTGTACATGTTGTGCTTTTATCCACATTGTAGATTTCCACAGAAACACTTGCAATGCCATTAATGGCTCTATAGGCCACGTTCCTGAATTGATTCCATTTTGAAATCTAGGGCTGAGATATTTTACAAATCATTTCTTCAATCAACTTTTGTCGTCATCTCCTGTGCCTGCTTGAGGATGGGTTTCTTGATCGCTAGCCCTACGGCATTTGTAGGGCATGTCTATGTTTTAAACAATTAGAATAATGATAGACCGGCAGAAGCATGAAATAAAATACATCCTAAGTCTAATTAGAACATAGCTAGCAGAGTCATGCAATCAAATTCATTATATGTGAGCATGCTCAAAATCCCGATAGTGCACGCTGATAGCATCAGTAAATCCGACTTCGCCAGAATTTTTTTTTCGCGCGAGCAGCCATTGTTAGCACAGGGAAAAATAATATATTTCGCGACAATAATGGATACAAACAGAAACTCGGCCTACTAGTCCGAAAACGAAGACAATGTTTCGACCTTTTCCCTTGGACTAGAGTTCTGAAAAGAGGCAGAAAAAGAGAAAAACAAAGGAAAAGGAGCCTCGGCATCAGCGCCGTCACGATTCGCTTCAACTGATATTGTTGCCCGTTTTTCGCATTGGATTTGATGCACAATTCCACTGGCTATGTTCTAAAACAATTGGTTCATGCTTTCAGCTGTACACTATCGAGTTATGGAGCACGTGGGAAGTTTGGAGAGCACTCAAGAAGCTAGAGTTGCCCTCGGCTATCGCCTCGGGCAACTCTTACGCTTCTTTCGTGCTCTCCAAACTTCCCGCTTGCTCCATAACTCGATAGTGCATGCTAAAGCATGAACCAATTGTTAAGTATTACATTGAGCACTACTTGCTTTCACTGGACTGGATGGTAGCAAATAAAAGTTTTCTACCTTTTAGATTGAAATGGGAGTACTTTCTTCAGCCTTTTTCTTATTGTAATAATTGTAATGATTTGTAAGATGTAAATAAAAGTAGTTACGTATACATGAAGTTGGCTAAATGTGCAAATTACAGTGTGCTATGTAAGTAATTTTGCTTGTTATAGCACTGTTCTCCTTTTTAGGTGGTAATTGTCAAGATTTACTGCCTGCAATACCTTTCATTACCGCCTAAAATTGAGTGAAATTCTAGAAAATGCAACAATTGAAATATTGCTCTAATGGTTTGAAAATTTATTGTAACTTATTGTGCTTCAATTAAGGAAGAACACTGCTATAGTCTTGTGTAAATTATGAATTTTCTTTCTACAATGTCAATAAAACCAATGAACTCACCTTCAACAAAGGAGAAGGAAGTATGCATTGAGTTATTGGTCAGTTAATTATTATCATTGGCAATTTGACCACCTATTGGGATTTTATTTGATAAGCTAACAAGAGATATTTTGTTCTTTGGGACTTTAAATTGTATAACTTGATATTTTCGCAAATCTCTTATTCACAGCTGATTAAGTAACACAACTACTGTCTGTCCAAATTTTGCTCAATTGACGAATAGAATTGTATCCTTGAAATGCTAGTGAAAAATTAATTAACTGAAGTTCAGGATTTCCTTTGAATTTGAGAGGAACCTGTCAAAAAATGACCACAGTATTTTTTAAGCCGCTTTGATTAATGTTCGGTAATTATCATGGTAGATTGAATGGCAGTGAGAGATAAATGTACCACAGCTTTTTACTGTTCCATCACCAGAGTTATTTTTGGCCTATGCAAAAGGTACTCTTGGTGTTGAAACTTACTGGTGTTTATTTTTCTTGTTCATCTTTCAGGAGTGTTTTATCGCCAAGATTCATACTGTTTACCTACTGAAACCAGACGGATTTTGGGAACGAAGCAGACTGTCATTTGGAAGTTCAAAATTATTATTTGAGGTAAAGTTTTGAAATTCTACTTAATTTTAACATTGTCACTGTTACATAGCTTGGTGGAACTTTGTTCTGTTCACTACATTTAGAGAATGGAAATTGTACAACAAGATACCTTGTGAAACATAAACTCAAGTTGCTAAAATTGATGCCAAGAAATCATAATTATTGTATGTGTATCATTATTTTCTGTAAAGAAGCTCCAATATCAGAGTTGTTTGAAAGATTCAAGACCTATTAAGTAGGTTCCATGTGATTTGATCTACAGACTTCATGTTGTTTATCTATCCCAAGTTTGTAAAGATATAAAGGTTATGTATGTGTAAAAATAATAAATTATTCCTCTACCAAATTTATCTTATTTTGTTTTACCTCATCGGGCATTTTAAAATGTTGTTAGTTATCTCTTAAATCAACACCTTATTACAGTAACAGTATTTTACCTTCTGGTTTCTTGGTATACGTGTATTTGTTGTGCAGTTGTCCCTGGGAGCTCTTTTACTGTTAGCTCAAACATATCACATCTTAACTTGGTAACATGCTTTGGATCATGTGATTTTATGTCACACTGCCTTGTCATTCTGTCACCTTTAGCAATTTAAGTTTGAGAACTGCTCTTCATTGCATGTCCTGATTTCTTTCTTTGATGACCTAATCATGTAAAACAATGGCCTATACATGTTGAAATTTGAAACTTTCATGTCAGACGTATTGTCCCAATTCATCAGAGTTCAACTGGTCCAATTTGAAATGTTCTGTCACAGAAGTTTGCCTCTGGAAAACTTTTCATAAAGCTATGGTTTTAGAACATAAACACCTTGTTGTTATTGATTGCTTACATATCATTTGATTATGAATTTTTGTGGTTCTTGTAAGATCTGAGGTAATTAAATTTTAGGACTGTCCCCGGCTCTGGGGGATTGCATGACATTTTCCAAATTTTTGTGGTAACAACTTCTCTATTGAAAGCTCTTTATTCATGTGGTTATCATGTTTTTGAGAGGTGAGATTTGCCCTTCTTAGTGTTACAGGCTTTGATTTTCTGCCGATAAAATAAACAAAAATGTGCAACTGTATGAAAAGTCCAGACCAATTCAACAACAAGAATTTATCTACTAATGTGATAACTTGGGAAAGTCTATATTTTTAAGTTGTGATTTGGGGTTGCTGCAACATTTAAAGATTTCTATTTTTACTATAAAGGTAAGTACAATTTGCTCCATGTGAAAATTTATTCCTTTGGATGGTTTTGTATAGAGCTGTTTTGTCTCTGCAATCTTCTGGAAAGCATTGTGTTTGCTGCAAATGGCAGAGTTACAAGCCAAGAGAACAAGTGGCACTTCATTGTTTGTATGTTTGCCATTGTTTGTTTGGCAATAAAGTTGTTCCTGATTGTGGATTGGGTGTATACAACAATTTTGTTGGCCAAAATAAATAGAACATCTGATTGAGCCATAGAGAAGGATTGCTCTCAAAAGGCAATTAGAATTGATTGAAGCAACTTTGAAATTGAAGTTTGTTTTTAGAATTGTAAGGTGGTTGTTCCACAGTGCACATAATATGTGCGCTGTGGAACAATATATGTTTCTTTTACAAAGAGTATTACAATTAAATTCTTTGAAAGCTAGTTTGCTATTTATATGTGTTTATGGAGGTGATGTTTTGTTCTGTACATGCTGTAGATATTTTAAACATGCAGAGAAATTACACTAATTTTTTTTACATGTATGTAATTCACATGTATCTAACCATTTTTCCTTTTTTTTTATTGATAGATTAGTTCAGATAGCAATTCTTTTATTGTTTCCAGTAGCAGCTCTTGTGACGTAGTAAACTATATCAGTTACCAGTGAATCAAATTTGTGATAGTGGTTATTCAGTTGCTTTGTGCTAAACACAATTTTAATTTAAAATTTCGAAACTCTTCCAAAAAACGGGTACACCAGAAACAATTGTTGTGTACAAAGCATAAAATCTTACTGGCAAACTATGCTTGCACAGAAATCTCACATGAGAAAATGTAAATGAAGAAAGTTGAGTATATTTGTTTAAAATCGTGATGATGGTGTCTTGCTTTCAGACCATCTTGTGGCCTTTATTTTGCCAGTGAGAGTAGCATAAACTCTATAAGATTTAAATGTTCTTTTTTTAAATAATTTCTGATTTACGTAATATGTAAATCTTTTTTTTTTATTTTATTACCAAGTGTTCTTCATGGGGCAAATGTCAAGTATCCATATTTCACTGAAATCTCTGAAATTCTTCTATGTCTGTCATGGCTTTATTCTCCTAGTTTAATAGTTATTTTTCCTTTCATCTGCTACATAAATTCAAGGCTAGAAGTAAGATATTTCTTTTCAGACCAAGTCTAGACTTACCATATTGTGTCTGATATTTGCTTGTCCTGTGAAGTGTTAAAGGAATGGCCTTAGAATCTGTGTACAAAATAGCCTGTTTTGTAGCTGCATCCAGCCCCTAGCATATACAGAACTTGTTATTTGCATGTAAATGTAGTTTATTATTCTTGTGGAAAAACACATGCCAAGCGAGCAGGTTTATGATTCATTAATTTTGGTTCCCTGAGGTTATTAGATAATGACCTTTCTATTGTAAAATTCTTTATTATGATCAAAACAAAGACGAATCGACTTAAATTTGGTTTTATGTAGATGAGATTGAAAGGCAGGAAGTCACATTTAATGAATCAGACGGCTGTCAAAACCATCTTTTGGAAGTTTGATTCGATGATCGTCTTTTGGTGTGGAACTATTGATTTATCAATCCTACCACTGTAACTAAGTACTTTATTTCTGGGGCAAATCGGGCAGAAATTTAGTCACTATAAAGTTATCTATTATTTGGCATACGTAAACATATGTAGTCAAAGTCTTCAAGGCACCCAAGATTGTATAATCTGTTCTTCAGGTTAGTGAAGCATGACTGATATACAAATAGTAAACAGGGTTATATTTTATCACTCCTTTACAATCATTCTTTGATTTAGCAATCAAATGCTTTGTTTTACACAGAGTTTCGTTTTTATTTTAATTTTTTACATTCAAATGAACTTTTTCCAGTTGCTGTATGTTTAAGCCATGTTCTTTTGTTTGTAAATATTTTGCTTTTTCCTTTGTTCATGGTGGCCAAATGTTGTGTTTTTCAAACTGTGTTTGTGCTTGTCAGTTCTATTGCCATTAGATTTTGTTACAACTTGCAGTCATTTGATGTTTTAGCTAAAATCATACACAAGTTTTGTACTTGATGGAGTGTTCTGTTGCATTGTTGTGTCACAAATACAAGTTGTAGAACAATTTATGTTTAACTTTGAACTGGTGTGAGGTATGACATTTGCCCCAGGGCAAGACAGTGCATTTCAACGACCTGGGAGACTTGTTTTATTTCTTTGAGATGTTCAACACATTAAATATCCAAAAGCCAATGCATTTTAATCACAGGTTCATGTTATGTTTAATATTATGATATTTTTTTTTTTTTATCATAAGGCTCATTCAAAAGTTGCCTGGATTTTCTAATGTAAAGAAAATTTCCAAATTCAATGGCTTATCATTAATTTGTCTACAAGATTTTGCTTTGAAAATGGTTTTCTTTTTTTCTGAATGTTTTATTAGCACTCAGGCATTCAATGCTGAAATACTTATTTTTTTGTGTGGTAAATGTTTAATACATATTATGCACAATTCTGTGTTTGTGAGAGTTTCTTAAAGTAAGTATATTTTGAGCTATTCATTACAAAAATAAGTTATATCTTTATGGGTCCATGGCTGTAAAGATCAGTAAAATTCCAATTATGATAATTGTTGCTTTGTGGCACAATAGATATTTTCCACCAGCTGGTTTGTGAACAGCACTTTCCAATCTGACAATCTTTTTAATGTTCAAGCTTTTAAATGAGGCGATTTAAAAATTTTTTCAATTATGATTTCAGCTAATTCATTTTCTAAATACACAGGTTGAAATTTATTAGACTAGTATTTGTTTTGACAATTGCAGTGTATACCAGTTGGTAGAAACTGTATGAACATGTTCCGTATTCTAATTAAATAAATTTTTCACTCTAAAATAATTTTTATTTTCAAGTTACTCATAACAGTGATGATGTCTTGTAGGTTCAAAATTTATTCCTTGGTACTTGGACTTATAATTTGTAATTTTACATGTAATAAGAGTTGATTATGAAATATAGTGCAGTCCTGAACAATGCCAGATAATTTATTTTTGTTATCATGTTCCACTCAAAAGGTACAATTTTTTGTCATCCTAAGGCTAAAATGATCTTTCTGACACACTTACATGACTTTGTTGATAATTTCATTGAGTTTGAACAAGTTTGTTTGTCACCCATACATATACATGTGTTGTAAATCTAGACACGATAAGGGAAATTTAACACATAACAATTAATCAATGTATGACTATTATCGAGAAGGCAGGGGTTCAAAATCCTGCCAAATCCTGAATTTTTCGGGCTTCTTTACAGGAACAGATCCACCTGTGTGGATCAAATTTTTGCTTGTTTAGCTACAAGTTCGTAAAAAATGTATGGTCCAGGCCTACATTTAAGTGTTGAAGTTGTGGTGCCTTTTTTTTGTCCTAAAATATGAATTAACTTATCTGAAATAAATGCAATTTTGTCATGTTACTCGTACTTTGCTGTACTAACAGAGCCTAGACAGGATCGGACACTCGCCTTGTGCTAAATTCAGTATAGCACAAGTATAGGCTTGTATAGGCCTGTATTTTTTCAGGCCTTATTTTCACTACTGCTCAAGTACTGTTTATTACTGAGAAGATTGCTTTGATATTCATTTAAATTTAGTTTATTGAATAATGCGCACTACGTTATTTCCAGATCGAAGTTATAATGATTTAAAAGGCAGTTGTATTTGTATTTTCTTTTTCAAATTTTTTTTTCTATCATTTGGTGGAACCTACAGTTGTAGTTATGGATATTTCCTTCTAATCCATTAACCCCTAAAACTGATTAGCATCTAATTTCTTCTTACATTACCACACTTCAATCAACCATTATAGTTGTGAGAATAAAGGAATTGATCCCCAAACAAAGGGGCTCTTGATTATGAAACAAATTCTCCTTGTCAGGGCCTTAGGAAAGGTGTATTTTATTTTATTTTTATTTTATTTAGCTTCGCCAACCAGCAGTGACACCACAACAGCTTGCG